AACGATAAGCGATAAGAAATTATGCACTCTATTTAGAATGTAAACAATATCGTGGAGTAGCGGCAGTCGATAATTATGTTTACACTGATTTTTAAAACAAACAAAGTTCTGAGCAAACTTTCACACGCAAATCTGGCATATTATTTATTTATTTATTTGAAGCACCATAAATAATTGCATGTACAATTAGAAGGAAAAGTATTCATATAAAAAGACTAACTCAATGCCCGCTACTCAACGAAAGAGAGCTTTCTCCCGCGCCGGGCACTACAGCTATGCTACATATGTATAAGCTTTGATATATATGGCCTGGTCTGCAGCGCCCATGGCTTCAGTTTGTTTCGGTCTTCAGCAGCTGCGGTCGCTGCGCACGCGCAACTTGAATTAGTGTACACGCCGGTCGAAATTTCGTATTTTCAAATAAAACAAATAAAAAACAAAAAAAGAACTGGAAATCAACATAAAATGCTGCGCCCGCAGGGAAATTCAAATAACCGAACGGGTTTCACAGTCAAGGTCGACGCTCACAAACGAAACCGTTATGGGCGCTGCACATTAACAGCTATGCAAAAATCGATGGCACTTATTGTTGTTGGTTTTGTGGTCATCTTCGTGATTATGTCGTCGCATGCTACAAGCATTGGTAATTTTTCCCGCTCTCTCTCTCTCTCTTTCGCTCTTTTGTTTGACACCAAATTTACTACCTGATTTTGATTGGGTGCGTTTTGCTGTTGTTGTTGTCTTTGGCATGCGCAGGCGCATGCGCGCGCTTTGGGTGTGAAAGTTGTTGATCTGTTTGTTACATAATCAACTGGGGGCCGTCGCCTGTGCATTGAACCCCAAATGACAGTTGCTGAAAATTTTCCTGACCCCCCGTTTAACCAAGCTTTGGCAACAAACAAAAAAATGCTTTAACTGTTACTTTCTAAATGCTGCAGCTGCCACTTCGCACACACACACACAAACACAAACACTGATTTCTATACACGCAATCCGCACACACACACACACATACAAAATCTTGAGATCGCATCTTGCATTTTACACACACGCGTCGCTTGCCCAATCGCTTGAGTTACGATCTGCTCCAGCTATGCCGCCAAATCAACTGTGCGTGTGTTTATTTGTGTGTGTGTGTGAGTGTTGCAAACGCAATTGACTTGCTGCCACCAAAATTGGCTCGGACACAGGGGCGTAGCCAAGCATCTATTAAAAGCCCCCCACTTGGCACCTCGAAGATTTGCATATTAAAAACAAACTATTTCCAAGAAAAATATTATTGCAATAGATTACATCTATAAGCTCCAGGTTAGCTTGGAAATAAGATCAGCAGATTTTGTAATCAAATTTTTAGTAATTAATCTAATTTGTAAGTTTAAAAAAAAAATTGCAAAATGTAATTTGATTTATTGCATCGCCTTTGCTTTTTTAATGTAGTGTTTTCCTTTACAGTGAAAACTCTCGTGAGTGGACACTTCACACTTCCAGTCTTTCCACAAAAGTGAGTTTCTTCTAGCAAAATCTGAATTCATTCAAGCGGATGTCTCAAGACTTTTACAAAACATTATAAAGTTGCCTTTTACTTGGGGTTTTTTGCGCTTTACTTATAACTTTAATTTTGTTGGCTGTACGAATATTCATTGTACGAGAAATAGTTTCAAATAGGGAAATTCGTGCGAGAAGATTCCGTCCTTTTTGAGTTTGTAGAGAGCATTGGGTTGGTTACCGTTCATATGGATATTATTTTATGTCTAAAATTATACAACCAAATCGCGTGTAAATTTTTGAAGTCAAAATTTGTCACGTAACGTGTGTCACGTCAGGTATGCCTTGTTTCGAAAACTAAAGAGAATATAATTACAATTTAATTATAAATTTATATCAGTTAATATACAAATAAATTCGTGAGCAAGTCAAAGACTTTTTGTAGATTGTCGTTTTTGATAGACGCCAATGAAAAATCTTGTTGCTTTTTCGTCACATAAAGATTCAGTAAATATTTGGATATATATATCCTACTGACGGCTATAAACTTTTAAACAAACACATATTGTTACTTAACATTACAGTTTGCAAAACGACATTTGAATTATTCTTTCTCTCACAATTATTATGTGCGTAGCCCTGTATTTACACATAATATATCTTTCATCCGCTGCTACAAACTTAGGACCTAGCTCTTGCCGTACATAAACTCAGCACTCCATTGTAGCCCCTCGCCGGGCTGATATGGGCTGCGTGATCTAGGCGCTAGCCAAGATTATTGCAGCAATGGCCAAACCCCCCTGCCAAATGTGGACGTGAGCAGCTCGTTTTTTCTTTTTTGGGTCAACGTATTAATTAGTTTTGGCGGTAATTAGATATGAAGCTATCTCACACACGACCTGCTTTGCAGACAATGCCAACGAACCGGAGCGGGAAGCGGGTGCCGGAGGCAATCACAGTCGACATAGACGCTCCAGCTCAAGCGCTGTCTGCATGCACGATGCACGCTTCTATCGCAATCCCAATCGGCCGGTGCACAAGATTTGGACGAACAGCGAGTGTGCCAAGTATTTTTTGTGCCTGGACGGCGAGGTGTTTGAGTTCAAGTGCTCCGAGGGTCTGCTGTTCGATGTGGTGCGACAGATTTGTGACTTTAAGGCGAATGTGGATAATTGTGATATTAGCGCTGAGACGCCGGCGCCCAAGCCGCTGCTCGAGATGGCCGACTGTGCGGATGAGACACAGCTGGGCTGTGCGGATGGCACCTGTCTGCCGCAAGAATACTTTTGTGATGGCTCCGTCGACTGTCCGGATGGCTCCGATGAGGGCTGGTGCGATGTGGAGCATGATCCGAATGCGGCTGGTGCCTGTGATCCGCGCAAATGTCAGCTGCCGCATTGCTTCTGTTCCAAGGATGGCACCCAAATACCGGGTAATCTGCAGGCGCAGACTGTGCCACAGATGATATTGCTGACCTTCGATGATGCCATCAACCATGACAACTGGGAGCTGTTCTCCAAAGTGCTGTTTACGGCAAATCGACGCAATCCGAACGGTTGTCCCATCCGGAGCACTTTCTATGTCTCGCATCCGTATACGAATTACCAGTATGTGCAGAAACTCTGGAACGATGGACACGAGATTGCGGTCCATTCGGTGACGTAAGTCTTGGAGCTAATTAAAAAATCTCAGCTACAATTGAATTTCTTTCTCTTTGCAGTCATCGCGGTCCAGAGCTTTGGTGGTCCAAAAATGCCACCATTGAGGATTGGTTTGATGAGATGGTCGGCCAGGCGAATATCATTAACAAATTTGCCAATGTGCGCATGGAGGAGTTGCGGGGCATGCGTGCACCTTTCCTGCGCGTCGGCTGGAATCGTCAGTTTCTCATGATGAAGGAGTTTGGTTTTGTCTATGATGCGTCCATGGTGGCGCCGCACTCGAATCCACCACTGTGGCCGTATACGCTGGACTTTAAGATGCCGCACAGCTGCCTGGGTGCCAATCAGAATTGTCCGACGCGCAGTTATCCGGGCATTTGGGAGATCGTTATGAATCAGCTGGAGGCGGGCGCTGGCGAATACACATGCGGCATGGTCGACAGCTGTCCGCCGCATCTAACTGGCGAGGATGTGTATCGCATGCTCACGTACAATTTTAAGCGTCATTATCTAAGCAATCGTGCCCCATTTGGATTATATTTTCACTCCACGTGGTTCAAGAAAATTGACTATTTGAATGCCTTTCTGGTGAGCATCAAACTCAGTTCTTGTCTTGAAAATTTGTGTGATTAAGGCCGTCTCTTGCAGAAATTTTTAGATGACATGCAAAAGTTGCCGGATGTGTACTTTGTGACCAATCAGCAGGCCATACAATGGATGCGCAAGCCCACGCCCAGCAATCAGCTGCATCAATTCGAGCCCTGGCACTGCCAGCCCAAACAGCTGGAGCCACACGAGCAGGTCTGCCAGATGCCCAACGTTTGCAAGGTGCGCAGTCGCGTGCTTCAGGAGGATCGCTATTTTTATACGTGCATGGAGTGCCCGGCACAGTATCCCTGGATACGCAACGAATTTGGTCTAGAATAGCCAATTGTTTAGTTTTAAATTGTATTTATGTTTCATATTTTTCATTAATTTAAATGTTTGCAAAACGTATTTTTATAAACCTTTGTACGCGAACTTTCCTTAGCCTAAGCCTAGCCAGCATATCCTTTTACTGCGTGATAAAGGGATTGGCTATGCTTTCGACGCCGTCCTGCGGACAGATGAGCACTAGCGCTGTGCCGCGGCATACAACAAGACCGAGACTGCGTGTTGAGTCTTCGGTCAGTTTGTAGGGCTCGTCCGAATCACGCAAATACTCCACGGTGTTGTCTAGCACCAGATTTAGGAGGGCATCGTAACCTTTTAGTATGCCGGACGCCTCGCGACCACCAGCGAATTTGACGCGTATTTGCTTCTCCAGATATTTGGATAGATCCAGAATAGACTCCTTGCGGCGCTTCTCCTTTCCATCGTTGTTGCCACCTGTCTAGGAAGCGATAAGCAACTAAATATATTATCTATATAATTGTTTAATTACTTTTTTACCTTTTTATCAGCCATTTTATCTTAATCGTTTGCCGGTTTCACAAACCAGCACAATGTTTATTTATCGATATCGATAGGCAGCGTTACAGCGTAGCCACATTAAGTGTCGGCAATCGATACTTTGCAATGATAGTCCATCAGTATTTTTTTGATTGTTTTATCGGAATTAAAAAAATACTAGCATCAGAGGGCCGTCCAGCGATACATCGATAAATTCGAATTTTAAATAAAAAATTAAATATATTAATTTTTATTTGGTGTAATATTATATTATTTTTGAAATAAATGTATAGAGATTAAAAGCCAAATGCATATGCTGTTGCACTCAGTACACCTAGTCGAAAAATTAAATTAATCGACTGTGACAGCAACTATCGATGACGTATTATATTAATGACATCGTAAGCATTTCATCTCTAGGGCACACTCCATTTTGTTTTCTCACGATACCGATACCGACACGACGCTTGAGAATAGTTTTTTGTACAAAAAAGTCGTAATTTATTAGTATTAAACCGAGCGACTTTTCTTATTCAAGTGTTTAAAGCTAAGTTCATATAATGGGTCGTAAAAAGAAGAAGGCCTCCAAACCCTGGTGCTGGTATCCTTTTTAAATAAATCAAATGAAAATTTTACAGTTCTCGTTTCGCCTTTACGTGTGCGCTGCGAGCCTCGCTAAAAAAAATTTGTATCTACTCACGCACACACACATACTTATGCATTTATATAATGACGAGTGTTGTTGTGGGAGTCGGTAACGCCGAAAAACTACAAAAAAAATCTTGTTCTTTCCTTAACCCATATAACTAACTAACTTAGGTACTGCAATCGCGAGTTTGACGATGAGAAAATTCTCGTGCAGCATCAGAAGGCGAAACACTTCAAGTGTCATATATGCCACAAGAAGCTGTATACCGGTCCGGGCCTCTCCATACATTGCATGCAGGTGCATAAGGAAACCGTGGATAAGGTGCCAAACTCGCTGCCAAATCGCTCCAACATTGAAATTGAGATATTTGGCATGGACGGCATTCCAGCGGAGGATTTGCGTGATCATGAGCGTCAAAAGAATGGCGGCAAATCCGACTCGGATGATGATGAACCGGCTGCCAAGAAGAAAGTTGAATGTGAGCACCAAAATTGTGCAACAAATTATTTAAATCACTGGCTGCAAACCATAAAGTAAAAAAAAAAGATATCGTCTGAAACTACAAATTGCAATTGCGGTTCGTGCATTGTTTGCAGCCTTGCTTTAAATACATACATTTGAATTGTAGCTTCCAAACATATTTTAAATCAGTCCAATTCATTCAGCTACAAGACTCCTGCCGTTTGTTTTAAGTGTCTCATATCATCATCTTCCTTGCAGATCCCATGTCTGTGCCGCCGCCCATGATGATGCCACCCAATATGATGCCGCCACATATGTTGGGTCAGTATGGCATGGGCATGATGCAGCATATGCCGCCATTGCCTCCATACCCGATGCCAATGATGCCGCACATGATGCCACCGCGACCCATGTTCTCAGCAGCAATGGCAACCACCTCAGCGGCAGCTGCCGCAGCAGCCGTGCATCATCATCAGCAACAACAGCAGCAGCAACATGCCGCTGCCATGGCCCAGCAGAAACCCACGTTTCCGGCATACAGGTTGGGCTTAAATAAATACGTTGTTTGTGCGGCCATAATGTATTATGTATTATGTTTTTGCAGTAACGCCACCATAAGTGCTCCACCTACCACCAATAGTGCTGGTGTAGGCGGTGGTGCGGCGTCAAACGCTGCGCCCGCGCTTGCACCCGATCTACACAATCAGGGACGCCCGCCAAATGCGGCCAATTCGAGCAGTAGTGGTGGCAGCGGCGGCAATGGCAGCGTTGTAGCCGCAGTTAGCACAAAGATAATGCATCCGGCGGAGGATGCCAGCCTGGAGGAGTTGCGCGCACGACAGCCCAAGTATCAGGCGCGTGTAGCTGCCGGATTGGTTGCAGCCGCTTCAGCGCCCAAAAACAGCAGTCCAACCATGAATAACAACGGTAGTGGTGTTGCTGGTATTGTTGGCATTGGTGGCATCGGTGGTGGAAGCGGAGGCAGCGCTGCCTCATCAATGCCTTCAACGCCGCCACCGCCTTCACTGTCCGGCATATCGCCAACGGGCAGCTCTGCCGCCGCAAACGCAATCGCTGTCAGCACGGCCATCTCCAAGGCACAGGAAGTGAGTTCTTATCATAGTTATAGAAACCATAGTCAATATAAATGAGCAGACGCAGACGCACAGACACCGACATGGACTTGTACAAAAGACAAAAACACACAGACACACAGACATTGCGAAACACTTGCAACATTTAATATACATATATATACATTTATATATATATATATATATGCATTACAATTCAGATGCAGATCTACAAAATTTGCTGAGACTGTGTCGTGTTTGACGCGTTGTGCATTTTAACAATTCCAATTATAAATCCACGCAACTATACGCTGGACATTATATAGTTTTATTTTTCTTATTATCGCATATGAAGCGACTTTTGGTTCAATTATTTTTGCAATTTCGAAGAATGCGTGCACGACCACAGAAAACGGCCGACAATGGAACACGGAAAGAGTTATACAAAAAAAAAAAAAGAAAAGAAAAGAAAAGAAAAAGAAAACAACATAAAAACCAGATTAACAATTTAGCATATAGTATGATATATGTCTGTACAATTTTTTAATTAAACATACAAATTAATGGCAACAAAACTGAACGGCGGCTTTCAATTTTAACACCAAGTTAAGTCAATTTAAGATTTTAAGAACAGCAACAAAAAAAAAACAAAATAAAACTAAAAAAAAATATTGCAGCGGCGAGCGCGCATTTCGAATTTGCAAAGATATATACATATATCTGAACTGTGATCACAGTTCAGAATGCCTAGCGAGAATCTTAAGTTTCTGCTTGGTTTAAAACAAAATACTTCCCAAATTTATTTACAGACCGCCGCCCTGGTGGCCGTGGCACAGGCGCACGCGCACGCACAGGCTGCGCAGGTGGCACAGGTACAGGCCGCGCACGCGCACGCCCACCACATGCAGGCCCAGGTGCAGGCGGCTCAGGTGGCTCAAGCCGTTGCTGTGCAGCAGCACCAGCAGGCTCAGGCTCAGGCGCAGCAGCAGCAGCAACAACAACAACAGCAGCAGCAGCAGCAGCAGCAACAACAACATCAGCAACAGCAGGCACAGCAACAGCATCATCAACAGCAACAACAGCAACACCAGCAACAACAGCAACACCAGCAACAACAGCAACACCAGCAGCAGCAACAACAACAAGCGGCGGCCCAACAACAACAGCAACAGGTCAAACAACTGGAAGATCTCAATCGTGCTGTCATGCTGCAACAACTGCAGGCGGTGCGTCAATCCGGAAATCCTGGCGCAGCTGCAGCGGCGGCTGCTGCCGCTGCCGCGGGGCTGGGCATGGTAAGTGTTAAACTGTGGCCAGCGCTCTGTACAGCGCTCGCTGCCAACAACGACATCTTTTCCAATTTGACTAAAATCCTTGAATGCTGTATCTCTCAATTTTCTCAAAGAAACAAAAAAATAACTACTTTTAACTCGTTCTCTATAACGGTGACAACTATTGTACCCAACCATTCAGAATGTTTGGGTCTGGCCACTTTAACTGTAGCGGCTAGTATCGATTTCTACTATTTTTTTGACCCTGCAGTGTAGAGCTCATCCTCATCATTGTCACAGCTCATTTGCAATTCATTTAATTTAAAGCGCAGATATAGATGAGTCATTAAAATCTGAACTTTAAACAAAGGTTGTATACGAATGAGAATTGATCGACAATTGTTATAGTTATAAAACTGTTTGCGAGACAAATATTTGCCTCTAAAGATAACTCCAATTACAGTTTACATAAATCTCTTTATTATTTAAAAACAATTATTCTCTAAAAAAATGTTTCTCAAATGTGATAATCTGTGGTAAACCTCTTTCTTTTATATTCTTGTACATTTTCTATAATGGAGATTATATTTTCCCTATATTTTGTCTTTAAATTTAAATTGAAATTAATTAACATATTTACTACAACTCTAATAATTCCTTTCTTGGGTTTTAGTATTGTACAAGTAAACATTTATATTTTCAATACTTTCTATCTTAATGCAATTCTTACTATAGTAATTTTTATTATCATGCAAAATGATATATTATCTCGAACTATCTATTAAGTCGAATTCTACATCTGTTTGCTTTTTCATTTACTTTTCCCTAATTTTTTGGAGATCTCTTTAATGTCATTAGATTTGATGACATTGACAAAATTTCTTTTCCTGGATCTATCAACTTCTGCTCGTATACAACCCGCTTAGGGTATTCGGGGCTGCATAAACTGTTCCTAACATCTACCTCTTAAGTATTCCACCTAAGCCCCTATTTCCTTCGCACATTAAAAACTTAGTCGAGCTCTAGCACAGTGACCATCTATTCTAATAGTGACAATATTCTAAGTAAACAAAAAAAATCTATACATATATCAATTTGAAAAGAATCTAATGTTGCAGTAACAAAATTAAAGTTAACATTACAATTGCAGTGCAGTACAGTTGAGTGTTGATAAACAAAATGCCAGTTGCAGGGCCGACAAACAGTTCTATACTACAGTATGTATTTTTGTACACTTCACTTTTCATTAAAAAAAAAATAAAACAAACAAACAAAAAAGTAGCCCCAAATGCGAATTACGAAAGATAAGTAAATGCCAAAATTCCATTATAATATGATATGTATACAATACTCGTAATCGTACTCGTACATTACTGTACTTACTATGCAAGTATTACTCGTAGTAGTCTAAGCAAGTTCCTTCCAATAAAAAATAAAAAAAAGAACACCCATCCATCCACCCCCCAACAACATAAGCATACTTACATACCCCACATTACAAACATTTACCCACCTAACCACTCCAACCAAAATGTTCCCCATCGACTATGATATCTATAGTGATAATGGTAATGCAAATGAAAGTTCCATAGTACGTACTGCCTTGCAAGCACATTAACGTTAAACGTCAACGTAAGCGTTAACGTCACGTAACGTAATGTTGAGAGTTATTAACTATGCAAGCCATGTAAGTACATTTTGTATAATTAATTCTATTAAAATTACTTTGAACTTGTCGTAATGGTTGCTGCGTTGGTTGGTTAATTGATTGATTGATTGATTGGTTGGTTGATTGATTAATTCATATCCACACAAAAAAAAAAAAAATACTACACACAGCATTAAATATATAATATATTTAAATGTATTGATATCTATTTAAAAACACACACACACAGAACATACACACACTCACACACAACAAATCTATTTAATCTAAATGTTTTTTATCTGTAAATTGTACAATGTATTTCCATACCTTCGTATCCTACACAAATTATTACACACATTTTTTCATCATCTATGTTATACCTCTAAGCGCAACAGACTCCTCTGTGCTCGTACATCCTCCTTCTCTCTATCTCGCTATACATACCATATATATATATATATATATATATATGAATATATATATCTCATCAAAACTAACACTTTTAGTTGTTCTATCCAGAAATTGTACACTTTACAAAATACACCTAGAGCTGGTACCATCTGCGCTTTTTATACTACACAATGTTGCAGTACAATGCGATTTTGGTATATTTCCGAAATATTAGATTCATTTTTACTGTAAATCGAAAAAAATGCCCTTGTTTGCTCGCATCTTTCTAACTGTCCTGGAATAGAGCTGAAAAACGAGATACATTTTAAATACCAGATTATTCTTATTTATTTTTAATACATTTTTATTATTTTTTACATTTATTTTTAAAATTATATAGTTCATTTACAAATTAGTCGTATCCTTTTTTATAGGTGCTTTTTTTTTTAATTTTGTGCACTCGCCCTTAAAGCGTTTTAATTAGGGGTACCCACTGTTTGAATAATATATATTTTAAACCTGAGATCAATACTTTTATTATACATTAAGCTTATTAAATTGTTAAACCATTTTTGGTGGTGCTCATAATTTTTATTACAAATCAAAATTTCGTTAAAGAACTCGCTGTCGAATACATTTTTTTATGTATCAATTTTTTTAAAATTATTTTGGATTATAAATTAGTTAAGTATTAAAATTGATTATCCAAACGTTGGTTCTTCAGCTCTATTCCATAAACATTACTAACAGTATTACACAGTTATACCTATATTACGCCTCGTGGCGACCACGCCCACCATATCATAGCTAAGTATAAAACAAAAACTATACCTAACTATAAACAACGATTTAAAGTATTGGAAGTTGAACTCGACAAACGTTGCCTGCCTGGTTAGTAACAGATTTGGTTTTTTTTTTTGTTGAAATCTCTTAACGCAAGACAAATATGTATGTATCCAAAATCCAACTATTATTATTATAATTTGTCTTTTAATTTGCTTTTTATCTGTACTATAAACATAATATTGTTCAAAAATCATTTGCGAAATGAACGGCGCGCGAGAGAAACTCTCTCATGAATTGTTTTGCCAAAGTGTTTTTTAAGGTCGAGATCGTAACGTAACGATCGGCCTGCCCTCCCCCATACCTACTCATCGTCGTCAGTTCAGTTTCCGAATTGTAAGTACGTTTCTTTTTTAACCAACAATTTAATTTTCTATCATAATATCTATATTTATTTTCAAATATGTATTTATTTATATTTATTTTTTATGATAGTTTTCTAATTAAAAAACAAAAGCAAATTGTTTGCCACAAACAATATAAAAAGGAGAAAAGTTGCTCTCTTTATCTGTCTCTCTCTCTCTCTCTATATATATATATATATATATCTCATTGTAACATTGTAATGCGATGCAAAAGTTTCGACAACAACAACAACAACAACAACAACACACAACAGAACACACATCTATTTTATTCATTTAAAGAATAAGTACGCAAAAACCAACTTATTATTAATATACTCCAAATACCAACAAGAAAATCAAAACAAAACAAAAAAAAAATCCATAATTAATAACAACTTAGCTAATTTTGTGTACAATGGCTTCGATATACACACCCAACACGTCCATCAGAATGCAACTAAAACACTTTAATTCTACCTCTCTTCCATGCTCTTCTGTATCTTTACGCAACGCCCATCTGGTCCACAATCTGCAGATGCAATTGCCTGGTCATATGCAGCTAATGCAGCCAATGCTGCGACCCGGAACTGTAGCCATTGGACCTCACGGCGCCCTGATAGGTGGTAACATGCTGCGTCCTGGTCCGATGCCCGGCATGCCAGCAGGTGAGTACACTCCATCAATCTGTTGGTAACTGACAGGCTGACTGATTGATTGACTTACTGACTAACTGATGGGTGATGAACGCACAGCCGTAAAGATCTGTGAACATTATTTTGAAGATCTTCTGAAGATCTATCCAAATGAAAATGATGGTCAAAGTCTGAGAAGGTGAATCTTCAGGTTTCGTCAAGTTCAAATTCGTGTTCAATTCCACCGCCACCAACTTTGTATGAATCTTTCCATGCGGCTTAAGACTCTTTCCCAACATCCTTATAAAAGTTTATTAAAGACTTGTCACACATTTCCTTATTGCCATCCTGGGGTGGAAGATGGGTTTAAACTTTTAGGGGGATGCTCCATTATTTTTATTTTTGTTTCCCCTTTGTGAGAAATGGGTGGAAATGTGATGTCTGAGTTCGAGGGAAAAAGTTGCCCATGCAAAGCCGGCTACACCCGCAAGTAGAAACACATGTATATATTTATATATATGTCTGAAAAGAAACTCGAATTAAATGATCTTACTTGCAGGTTTGCTGCCCATGCAGGCGATCGGATATCCTGGCTTGCCTGCTGGCGCGATGCCTATGCCGGGCATGGGCGTCATGCTGCCCGGACATCCGAATATGTTGCAGATGATGCAGCCGCGATATAGATGATGCCTGCCCGCTGCTGCGCCCGGACTCTTGCAGGCGCCAACGCAGACGCATCCACAGCATGTGCGTTTTCAGCGGGCTGGATTGCCGGCGCTGCATCCGCAGGCTCATGCGCAGGCATCGCTGGTGGGTTTGCCGCTGCCGTTGCTGTTCCATGATTGAGAGGCGTGGCCGCTGCAGATTAACAAAAACTACAACAACAACATCTAGTGCAAAGAAAAAGCAATCACAACAACTGCAAGCAAGTTTTCATACTCAAGCTACGCAATTCCAAAGCTCTTTTTTAAATGTATAACAGTTTTGAGACACACTCAATACGTACACACACGTCACACAGTCACAGGTTGCACCCACACACACACACATACACACAGATACACTAACAGCAATATATGCGTAGTAATACTTTATATATGTACGAATATCTCCTAGTTGATGCACCCAAACATTGCTTTTCGTAATTGACCAAATTCTTAACTTTTCTACCATATATTTTTTTTAACATCAATTGGTTAACTGGTATGTGCACTCTCTGCCTTCTTGCATAACAACATACTTCATATTTGTCAAAACACTAATCAACACTGTAACAATTAAACAACACTACGCTGTGTACGTGTGCGAAGTGAATCGCATTGCATCGCATCGCTTCTCATCTGGCGCTCTCTTTGCTGGCACGCGGTTCCCTTTGCTGTACTCTTGCTGTAGTTCTTACTCTCTTTCGCTCATATAACTCTCTCTCTCTCTCTCTCTCTGTATCTCTCTAGTTATATTTGTAACTGTATTTGTACAATACCAGCAATTTACATAATACTTTATTTACTAATATAATACCATAAATAATGTATTTTTGTTTACATTCTTTTCATTATTTTTTCTATATAAATATTTTTTTAGTTACATTTAGAGCTCTGGGGCTCAAGCATTCGTACGCCCCGTCTAATTTATAGCCTAAAACAAAAGAAAACACGTATGTACACGTTGTTATACTCGCTCACTCACTCTCTCTCTCCTTTTTGCCATGTCTTTATTCTCAGATAGAAACGAAAGCGTACGCTCCCCCCCCGGGTAAGAATCGGGCAATTATTTAAATACATTATATCAATACATATATTGTAATATTGTGTGCGAATTTGTATTGTCTGTGCGTAGCTTTTTTTTTAGTTAATTGTCCAATGTGCGATGCTCCACAACTGTTATACACACTGTTATACAATATGAATATATGTAACCCATAACTGCATTTATGTGCCCCTTTTCCCCTCCGACCTGTGACACAAAAACCAAAAGATAAAAAAAACTGTCGTCTTTCATCCACTCGTTAATCGTTACCCGTTATCCGTTACTCGTTACTCGTACTCGTTAGCCGCTGACAAAACTACTCGTAAGTTATGTACAAATTTTTATTCAACAAGAAAAAAAAAGTATTTGTTTTTCGTTTTGAACACACGTTGTTTCGTTTTGGTCAGCATCAATGCGATGCGCGCAGCCCACAATCAGGTATCTACATCATTTTCTTTTATTATTCATTTATACATAATATCCTAAATAATTTGTCTTGGTTATGGTATCGTACTAATCAAAATCAAAATCCATTCAAAAATCAATAGTTATTAAAATAGTTCTTTCAACGTTTCCAGTTAAATACCGCACATTGTTAGTAAGTACATTATACATTATAGTTTACTATTTGTTTCGATCTATATAACTAGCAATCCATAGTTAGTTCCTTCGTTAATGTAGTGCTCTTCCATTGGTTCACAGACTCCATAACTTTAGCTTCCTAGGCAACAAAAGTTTAACACAATCAGGCTGAGGCTTTATTATAATAGTGGCTATTACTCAAGTCCAAATATATAACTACGTATAATTAGATATTTAGCTGCTAAGTTGTTCACTCAATTCATTGTTTTTGTATTGTAGCTTGAAAATCGAAGGGTATAGTACACTATATATATTTACATATATAAATTGAGTTCTGGCATGTTTTCAGAATCGGTCTGAACAGAATACTCTTTCCCAGTGTTAGCCTAGGCTAGTCAAATTTTAGCAAGCACCGCCCCCAACCGCCCCTAACTACCAAACTACCATATACACTAACTTGTATTTGTAACTCATACTATCCTATATCGTATACCTATATATCTATATATATGTAACTGTAACTATATAGCATAAGCGTAAGCAATGACAAGTGAAAAAACTGCCACTTTTGATGGTTTTGTACCGTTTGTTTGGCCAGTTTAGCGCAAAATTGATGTTGGACTCTCGGGTCTGGCATTTTCGCCGCATCGCTTTCCGATGCCCCGCCCCTTCCCCTGATCCAGTGGGGCTGGTGGTGTTATGCGATGTTAGAACGGCGTGCTTCAGACGAGTGTACCTCAATGCGGGACAGACAGAAGTCGGTAATTGATTGGTGGCTACTTACACACACACACACACACACACACACATGCACATACTCATAACTACTAGTTAAGTACTTGACAAGAACTATCGTATCTCTAATTGTGAACGCAACTGTAAATATATTTTTGATGGCCGCGTTTTGTAACTGTTTTCTTAGTAAACATTGTTAATGGATTTTTCATAATACCCAAATCTATTCATTCTATTATTCTTATTTTGATTTATTGGTGACGGTCATACTTTGTTTATTTAGCTGAACTAGTTTATTATTATACTCTTGCAGAGATTGATCATCAAAAATAGCATAGGCACATACAAATATATATACTTTTTCGATGTTAATAGCCGCTACTATATAGCTATGTCCGTCTATATCTGATAGTTATTTATAAAATTTTGCATAGTTCCAATTGTTTGGGAAAAATCGATCAAAATTTGGCGCTCGTTTTTTCTCTTTTTTTAATATTTCGATGAGGACATTTTTATTTAGATCGGACTATTTAATGATATTTCCTTCGATTGGTTAACGAGGCTTTCGTAAGAAAATCTTTGTCTGGCTTATAAGATATTTATATATATTAAAATCTCAAATCCGCCTTCTATATCATAAAGCTCATATCATTTGTTGTTTAAAAATTTTTTTATTTAGATATATAAATTAAATTTTACATATGCGCGCTGTTATTTCCCTGCAAGGCTATTTAAATTTCGGCCATCCGAAGATAACTTTTCTTAAACGTTTCATTTTTTTGATCTACAATTGTAAACTTTGCGATACATACTACTGTACCATATATTGTACAATAACTAATTGTAAGCTGCACGCGTTTATTTGAAGTACAAAAACCGTACTAGTTTCTTATAGGTGTGTGTTTTATCTTATACTTCGAGCCACCAATGTCTGTCCTTAGCGCTGGGCGACACGCGAGTAGCTGGAAAAAGCGCAGACCTCAATATACACTCAACACTCTATACCCTACTAAAAACAAACCGTAATTGATCTGCGCGTCCAGTCGAAAGCGTGTCACATTAATTTTGCTGAGCGAAAAGTTCCCTGCGTCCAACTCTCTCTCTCTCTCTCTCCCAAATTGAGTGCGTGTTAAGTCCGACTCAACTTATCCCTTATCCACACACACACACATATACAACCCTTTTTACGACGCAGGCGATGTGCTGCCCCCTGTTTTTTTTACTACCTCTCCCCCCCGCGCCTGGATGCACATCACAGTTGCCAAACACAACTGTTGGACTTTTCGGTCCTTGTCTTGCAAGAGCTCTAATACTTATATATCTCTATACACATACACACACACTCACTCACTCAGTAACATATACACACACATACCGCAGGAGGCGTTCACGATGACCACGCCCACATCATTTGTAAAGCTTCGCAAGCGCAGGCATCAAACAGTTTGTGTTTTTATTGTTAATTGTGATTAAAATTTTTCTTATGGATTGTGGATTTTGCTATTTTTGATGTCCCCTAATATGTTTTTCGCCCGATAACAATTTCGATAATAATTTCGATAAATATGCTTTAAAAGTTAACGCGGCGGCGTTCAACAATCAACAAGTCTAGTTTAAACCTTTGCCAAAGATGATTTTTGTGCGCCGCCTCAGCGCACTTTCAAACTCAAGGTATATCCTATATGTCATATTTATATATGTAAATTAATTGATAAAATAATACGTTTACAAGCTTTGATTCGTTTTTTCTTTTTTTTTTTTGGTTGCATTTAACTAAAGCCTACAAAATAAGCGTATTTTTGTAATGTTTTTGTTTTGAACATGGCTTGTTCTTTCTGCTAATTACAATCTATAAACAATTTACTACACAAATATTTAGCTAATGCAATTAATATTTAGTGCAAATGCATAAAATCAAAATAAAAAAATTAAATACATTGCGTATGTTAAAAGTTTTAAATGTTGTAAATGAGTAAAGAACACAAAAAAAAAATATACATTTTAGCGTTTGTACAAGAAATGTTTCTACCAAAAAAAATATATATATAAACATACACAACATACTTTAAGCATAACAACAAACAAGTTATATAAGCAATAGTTTAAAAGTCCTTTTAAACGAAAAAAAAAAACAAAAACAAATCGCATACTGATAATATTTCTAGTTTAATGTTTTGATTGTTCTCTTCTTTTTAAATTTAAATTAATTTATTGAATTTTAATAAATAAAATTTACTCCTTATAAATGTGTTTATCAGCCTGAAAGTTGGAGCTGTATTATAGATTATCTATCGATATAGATTAGTGCGATCTGCGAGTGAAATACATCTCAACTCGGGCGGAAAATGGGTGGAAGTGAGCTACAGCTGCTTCACTTCCACTACTCGTGGGCGTGAAAAACTTTCTCACCAATATTTGTAAATGAAATTGAAGCGAATTGGAAGAAAGGTAATTTCTAATATATAGCTGCTATTGGAACAATCGGTCTTAAGCTAGACAATATCAAATTTTTATATTGTGAAGGTGATTTAGTTTTTAGAAGCCTGAGCATAATTGTTCTGGAATATTTTCACTGCTCTCATCAAACGCACATTATGACTGGCTGCAGGTTAAGAGAACCAGTTTGAAAAAAAACCCAAAAACTGCTTGACTCATGGGCTACTCCCCGCAGATGGCTGCGTCAGGCTGGCTGCGATTACAATTATATGATTAAAGCCGATAGATCTGGCATTTTCAGGCCTGTCGCGTTATGTGTGGGACATGTTTCAGGGGCTTGTCTGCAGCAGGGCCAAAAGCAAGAGCTGATAGTCGTGGGAGTATCCATTATAACTGCGAGCTGTTAATTTGTTACAACTCGACATTTGATGGAACCGATTCCTGTAACGCCAACTGAGAGACGGCCAAAGACTGCACGCTTATACATGAATGCGATAGACTGACTAATTTCAAGTTCACTGGAATTCCAAAGACGAGGCGCACACACAGCTTCAAAGACGGTTCCATGCTGGCCCAAGCTCGGCATTAGTCGGCATAACTCTCGGGTTTGTCTCACTGGGCTTTCAGTTTCGTTGCGAGCGTCGTTCATGTCGGTTGTGTTTTTGGATATCTTGTGCGACAATTTGAAGGTGTGTGTTTGTGTGCTTACTGTACTCGCCATAGAGCGTTAGTCAAACAAGTTAAAGATTGGCTCAAATCAAACTGAATCTGGCAAAACAAAAGACTTAAGACACAAACTTGCAGGCGAATGTGCGACAAAACGTTTGCATAACGACTTCCACGCCCCTTAGCCCACTAACGCCTTTGCCTTCAATTGTCGTTAGTGCACGGGCTGTTGGTTATTCATTTGGCCAACAAATCGTATTAAGTAATTTTTTTAAAAACGCCACCAGTGACTAATTCAGAGCAAAAACCCGCTAAAAAAGTTGATTGTTATTCAGGAGTTGCCAATAAAAATCGCTAAAATCTTAATTTTGTCCACCAGTAATTAAGAACCCAAGACCCAAAACAACAAAAATATAAAATAATATTAATGAGTCTCAAAGACCGCACATAAAAAAAAAGCCAATGGCTGTTACATAGCCAAAAACTTGAATTTTTCAGAGCGTTAAACGAGTATTTGAAGCCGACTCGCCAAACAAAAGGCCCAAAAGCGAATATGCCTGAAAGCAAGACTCGCAAAAAATGCTTGTAATAAATTATAAAAAAATAATAAAAACAACAAAAAAAAAAAAAAAACAAACCTGACCAGAACGTGCACTTCAGAAGCAAAATAAATATAAGAGGGCAACATAAGTACAGGCACTCAAGCCATGACTCGAGTGTTAGACAGGCACATCAGTCATTGAGTTTGTTAATGGCCCTGACGAGACGTGCGAGAAGAGCCGAAGATCTGAGTGACCCAAATGAATGCCAGAGCTATCTAAGCTACATATCTTCTAAGTGCTGGCATAACCTCAAACTTAAGCGTGATCTAAGATGTCCGAATGTTCATAATATCTAAGCTTATCTTTACACTTACCTAAGGGGATTCTTAATTTCGAATTATTCAGACATATATTTCGTAAGATTCTGCATAATCGAAGAATTGAGTCATCAATTTTGGTTTTAACAGCTACCATATTACTACACAGCTCAAACTTAGGATCCTAACCATAAATTAAATACATGTTTTTGAGCTTTGGTAGTTCTTTATGAGTTACAATTATGAAATCAAGCCTATAAAGCACAAACTTTCTGGGTGTTGCCATGATTAAAAGTTATCTCAACTTAATGTCGGAGTTACCAAATTAATCAATTTATTTAAAACATCTACTCAGTATATCATCCGAGGACCAACATAGCCTAAAATCAAAAAATCTGAGTGATATTTGCGATACACTGGATATATATAATTAAATTACAGCTATCTATATGTATTAAATTCCAGCACAGTCAGAGCCTTGGAAAGTTAATAAACGTAATTGTGAACTATTCGAAGTAAATACTCTTAAGTGGTTACATAACCTCAACCTCAACATACAAAAACTATCTGAACTAAATATTCCTACATAACCTCAACCTTGTCAACACGTTCACAAGTGATCCAATCTTCATATGCCTCCTTAATAAGCTTTTATTTCAGACCGGATAGTATATGATACCCTTGATAAAGGCTTTCTTCTCTAATATAGAGATCTAATAATCCAAAGTTTCAGCATAGACTTGGACTTCTAACTTATAATACTGTTATTATAGTTAGTATACGGTGTGGTTAATTATAGTATTGCCACCGGACAGTAGTCTTTAAAGAACTAAGCGAACTTACTTAGCTATATACAATTTGATAATGATTTATAATTTATAGTAATAAAACAAATATTTGTAGCCATATATTACCTTTACCCAGATGCATGCATTTTAGGGTATTTGGTTGGCAAGCTAACACAAAGCCGACAACCTCTCGAACATGCTACAATAGCCAAGACTCACTTTTGTCTGAAAGTTTCCAAATTGCCAGCTCAGAGAGCTAAATGACGGGGACAACTTTCAAATTGACTTTTGCACAACGGGGGCGCGGCTTTGGGTTTCGATTTCGGTTCGCTGTGGTATCCGGAGCTCCACTTAACTCAATCCAACTCGACTCAACTCGATTTTATGGCTATGTGAAGGTCAGCTCTAACTCGATTAATTTGGTCTATAACATTTAATATTGCAGCTTGAATATGGTAACTGCCT